ATTTCAACTTAGGTAATGATCTCACCTGTGAGAACTAATAAATTAAGCTAAATTCCAAGACACAAAATCAACTTGCAAAAACTAGTTGCAATTCTATATACTAACAATTAACAATATGAGAGGAAAGTAAGAGAACAATTCCATTTACAATATCAACAAAAAGAATAGACTACTTAGGAATAAACTTCAACAAGGAGGTAAAAGACTTGTACACTGAAAACTATGAAGTATTTTTGAAAGAAATTAAAGAAGACACCAATAGGAAAGATATCCCATGTTAATTTATTGGAATATTTAGTATTATTAAGATGTCAATACTACCTGAAGCAATCTACAGATTCAAAGCAATTCCTACCAAAATCCCAACGACTTTTTATAGATGAAAATTCCATCCTAAAATTCATATGGAATTCCAAGGGACCCAAAACAACCAAAATAATCTTGAACCAAGTTGGAAGTTTCACACTTCCTGATTTCAAAACTTATTACAAAGCACTGTAATAAAAACAATGTGATACTGGCATAGAAATAGACATGTAGACCAAAAGAACAGAACAGAAAGCCTAGTAATATACCCTCACCTGTAAGGCTTAGATAATTTTTAGAAAATGCTAAGACCATTCAATGGGAAAAGGACAGTCTTTTCAACAAATTGTGCTGGGAAAACTAGCATCCATATACAAGAGAATGAAGTTGGACCCTTTGATCTTACACCATATACAAAAATTAACTCAAGGTGCATCAAAGATTTATTCATTTTTTAAAAATTTAAGTTTATTTACTTATTTTTGAGAGAGAGACAGAGAGAGCGAGAAGGGGAAGGCAGAAAGAGAGGGAGAGAAAGAATCCCAAGCAGGCTCCACACTATCAGCATGGAGCCCAATGTGGGACTCAAACTCAGGAACCGTGAGATCATAACCTGAGCTGAAACCAGGAGTCGGAGGCTTAACCGACTGAGCCACCCAGATGCCCCAAAGTGGATCAAAGATTTAAATATAAGACCTGAAGCTATAAAACTCTCAGAGGGAAAGCTTTATGTCACTGGATTTAGCAATGATTTCTTGCATGTGATACTAAAAGCAAGGATGACAAAAGAAAAAAATAGATAAATTAGATTATACCAAAATAAAAAAAACTTGTGCAAATAAAAAAAAAACTTGTGCAAACACGGTGAAAAGGCAACACACAAAATGGAAGAAAATATCTACAAATCATATATCCAATAAGGGATTTATATGCTGAATATATAAAGAAATCCTACAACCCAACAACAAAAAACAAATAACCCAATCCAAAAATGGGCAAAGGACCTGAATAGACATTACTCCAACAATATATACAAATAGGCAATCAGCACCTGAAAAGACACTCAATTTCACTAATCATCAAAGAAATGCAAATCAAAACCACAATAAGGTGCACCTGTCTGGATAGTTCAGTAGAACATGCGAATCTTTATCTCCGGGTTGTGAGTTCAAGCCCCACATTGGGCAGAGCTTACTTACACACACACACACACACACACACACACACACACACACACCCATGATATCACTTCATATCCTTTAAGATGGCTACTATCAAAAAAACAGAAACTAGTATTAGCGAGGTTGTGGAGCAGTTGGAACCTTTGTGTACTGTTGGCGGGATTATGAAATGGTGCAAGAGCTAATAGGAAAATAGTCTGGCAGCTCTTCAAAAAATTAAAATTAGAACTACCATATGATCCAGAAATCCCACTTCTGAGTATATATCCAAAAGAACTGCAATATCTCTCTAAGAGATATTTGCACATTCATGTGCATTGCAGCATTATTCATAATTAGCAAGAAGTGGAAGCAATCCAAATGTCCATCAGTGGAAGAATGGAGAACTTAACATACCATATTTGTTAGTTCTCCAGAAAAACACAACCAATAGGATGTATACCTAGAGATTTATCATAAAGAATTAGTTCATTTGACTACAGCAGCTGGCATATCTAAAATCTGCAGGATAGACTGGCAGGGTAGAGACCCAAGAGGGCCAGTGTTCCAGTTTGAGTCTGAAGGCAGTGTGCTGAAGAACCAGCAAGAAGTGATGTGGTAAATGAAGTCCAAAGGCAGTCTTTTGGAGAATTCTCAATTGCTAAAGAAGGTGGATCTTCTTTATTCTATCAGGCCTTTAACTTATTGGATGAGGCCATTCACATTTTGAAGGGCTCCTTATTCAGAGCCCACCAATTTAAATGTTAATCTCATCCGAAATCACACTCACAGAAGTATCCAGAATAATGTCTGACCAAATATCTGGGCACCCCATGATCCAGCCAAGTTTAATATACAAAATTAACCCTCACACATACGCTGCTTTAAAAGGAAGGAAATCCTGTCATATGCTACAACATGGATGAATCTTGAGGACCTTATACTAAGTGAGATAAGTCGGTCCCAAAAGTACAAATATTATATGATTTCACTTATATGAGGTAACTAAATGTAGAGTAAATGTCTGACATTAAACTTCTGATTGCCAGGTACCCATTTTAAAAGATAGCCATCTTGAATAAACATATTGCCAGGTATATGACACAGCCACTAGGTAAAACAATCAGATTAGGAACTAGGTCACCCACACCCATTTAGTTCCTCTTACAGAAAGTCCTGGGTGACTTAGATAACTGACCGCTTGAGTGACCCTGCTTCCACTTTCCCATGCCCTAATTTCCGCTCTTGTGTTTCAAATTAGCCAATAATGAGTGACCCCACAAATCGCCAGACATTCCACCCTTGGACTTTAATAAAATCATAGCCCCAGCTCCCCTCTCTATCCCTCTCTCTAATTGCAACCTCACTTGTACCATGTACCCTCCAAGACTTGTGAGTAATAAATTCTGTTCCTCAAATTCCCTAATTATTTTTGAAGTGCATCCTGCAGTCATAAGAACCACAAGGATTAGTCCAGTCACATCATTGGCCCCTGTGGGGGAAATATCAGTGGGGCTCACGGCGGTTAAGACAGGCCCAGGCAACTGCCTCAGGCATTCCTAGCTGAGAGCATCACCATCAATAGGTTGGGCAGGACTCAACACCAGAGTAGTCAAATTTATAGAAATAGCAAGAATGATGGTTATTTAAGGCTGGGGTAGAGGCGCCTGGGTGGCTCAGTTGATTGAGTGTCTGAATCTTGATTTTGGCTCAGGTCATGATCTCACAGTGGTAGGACTGAGCCCCAACACAAGCTCCTTACTGGGCGTGGAGTCTGTTTGGGATTCTCTCTCTCCCTATCTCTCTGCCCTTCCCCTGTTTGCATGCATGCTCTCGCTCTCTCTCTCTCTAAAATACATGCATACATACATACATTTTTAAAAAATAAAAAAAATAAAAGGTACTGTTTAAATTCTGTAGGATGAAGAAGTTCTGGAGATGTTTCATGGCAATGCACATATACTTAGCACTACTGAATTTTATACTTAAAAATGGCTGAGATGGTATAAATTTTTTTTTTTAATTTTTTTTTTCTTTCAACGTTTATTTATTTTTGGGACAGAGAGAGACAGAGCATGAACGGGGAAGGGGCAGAGAGAGAGGGAGTCACAGAATCGGAAACAGGCTCCAGGCTCTGAGCCATCAGCCCAGAGCCCGACGCAGGGCTCGAACTCACGGACCGCGAGATCGTGACCTGGCTGAAGCCGGACGCTTAACCGACTGCGCCACCCAGGCGCCCCAAGTATAAATTTTTTAAAAAGGACATTCTGATCGGGCTAGGGGGAGGGGAAGTAGGGAGTAAGTGTTTCACAGGGACAGAGATTCAGTCTGGGACAATGAAAAAGTTCTGGAGATGAATGCTAATGATGGTTGCACAACTATGTGAACATAGTACTACTAAACTATAATCTAAAAAATGGTTAAAATGGTAATTTTTATGATATATATATATACATGGAATATATATATAAATAATATAACTTACAAGTAATATATAAAAATAACAGTGCAGGGGGAAAAAAAGTACAAAGATTTGATGGTATCTGTTTTGGTGATTACAGAGATAAAATGTTGAGTATACAATGAAGTTTGCAAACTACCCTCAAATATTTAAAAATTGAGAGGTTGGGGGTGCTTGGGTGGCTCAGAAGGTTGAGCATCCAACTTCAGCCAGGTCACGATCTCGTGGTTTGTGGGTTGAGCCCCGCATCGGGCTCTGTGCTGTCAGCTCAGAGCCTGGAGCCTGCTTTAGATTCTGTGTCTCCCTCTCTCTCTGCCCCTGCCCCACTCACTCACTCTCTCTCTCTCTCTCTCTCAAAAAATGAATAAACGTTAAAAAAAAATTTTTTTTAAATCAAGAGGTTAGCTTGTTTACAAATTTTTCTAACAATATAACAAAAAGGCTAAAGAACATATACTGAGTGGCAAATGCTCAGGGTTGGGGCACCAACCCCATAGAAAACCACAGAAAATTTGCACTTCTTTGTGTTTTGCATTTCAGTGTTGTCTGAATATTTAAAAACAAATTTACTGTACTTCCAAGGAGTCTGTATTCCAAAATTAAAAGCTGGAAAAAAAAATTACTACCAGGAGTAGTAATTACTACTACTAAATTACTAGAAGTAAATTGCTACTAGAAAATTTACAAGAACGTCATTTTTTAAATTATATAAACTAAAATTAAAGTTGGGGCGCCTGGGTGGCTCAGTTGGTTAAGCGGCCGACTTTGGCTCAGGTCATGATCTCGTGGTCCGTGAGTTCGAGCCCCGCATTGGGCTCTGTGCTGACAGCTCAGAGCCTGGAGCCTGTTTCAGATTCTGTGTCTCCCTCTCTCTGACCCTCCCCTGTTCATGCTCTGTCTCTCCCTGTCTCAAAAATAAATAAAAAACGTTAAAAAAAAAATTTTAAGTAAAATCAACAACAATCACCAAAATTAAACCTTCATATCTGGATTATGTCTTCCTATAATTTTGCTATTTTACTCTGAGAACATCTAAAGACCAATACACATATTTTAAGAATATTTCACTTTACCTTTTAGCTACTGAAGATGTTCCATATTGTCTTCTGCGACGCCTGGCCACTGAAGACATCTTAAGTCCTAGAAAGATAAATTGCTTTTTTTTAGGAATAAATTAGAAAACCATTCGCACAGTATCACTAGCACTGTGAAACTTTTACAAGCAGCAATGCTTGCCTCTAACCCCCACCCTGCAATCCCATCATACCAATTTTCAAGCAAACACAACAATGAAGACCAGCTAATCACAACCCTGAGATGCCCTCCCAACTCTATTTCTCTGCTAAAGAAAATGTCTAAGTCAACGCAAAATCTAGAGATGATGCAGGAAGCACTGGCAGAAAGCCTCATGGGTTGGAAAAAAGGGAAAGAGGTAAGTGATGAGGGAAACAAAGGCAAGAGAAATGTAGCTTAAATTAAATCTCCTTACAGCTTGCAGCCCACTGACACCTGAAACACGCAGAGCATGACCTTGCTGCCAAGCAACTCATGGCTGCCTTACTTCCTTGATGTTTTTGTTTTATTAAAGACTAAAAGTAACCTTATCTTAACAGTAGCTTAACCTTATCTTAACAGCACCCCTAAAAGTCTTGAAAGGTTTATTTTCAAATTCCTTAGAGACTTACATTCTCCCTAACCCCCACTAACTTAGAAGTATATACCCGGTCACTCTTCACAACGCCAGTGCAGCTCTTTCTGCCCACGGGTCCTGTCCCCATACTTTAATAAAATCACCTTTTTGCACCAAAGATGTCTCAAGAATTCTTTGTTCTTGGGCCGTTTGCTCAAGAACCCCATTGGTAAGTATGAACTAAAATTCACGGTGGCAATGTGTAATGAAACAAACAAACAAATATGAATTTTATTTCACTGATTTCAGTTCCACTTTGGTGTCCCCTCTTCCTTTAGAACCACGTGCTGCTTGGTAAGGAGACATGGCAAAGCCAAAACACACTGTCCAAGGCCAAATTTGGGGCCAGCAAGGATGGCTTCCTTTTCCTTAACAAATTGATTTGTGCATTTGTCTACCTCCAAAAAGATGCTGAGATGTCTATGACTAAAAGGGAGAACCAGTAAAGCATTAAAATAAAGAGGAAGGAGCAGCACCAAAATAAGGAATTTTTCCATTATTTTAAGTGATATAATTCATACACCATAAAATCTACCCCCCCTCTTTTTTTTTGAGAGACAGAAAGAGTCTGCATGCACTTGTGCGAGCAAGGGAGGTGCAAAGGGAGTGGGAGAGAGGGAGAGAGAGACAGAGACAGAGAGAGAGAAAGAGAGAGAATCTAATAAGCCAGGTCCACACTGAGTGCAGAGCCCCACACAGGGCTCCATCTCACGTTCATGAGATCATGACCTGAGCCAAAAGTATGAGTTGGATGCTTAACACACTGAGCCACCTAGGCACCACTAAAATTCACCCTTGTAAAGGTAAATTTTAGGGGTGCCTAGGTGGCTCAGTCAGCTAAATATCTGACTTCCACTCAGGTCATGATCTTGCAGTTTGTGGGTTCGAGCCCCTTGTTGGGATCTGTGCTGACAGCTCAGAACCTGGAGCCTGCTTCAGATTCTATGTCTCCCTCTCTCTCTGCCCCTCCCCCATTCACGCTGGCTCTGTCTCTCTCTCCCTCTCAAAAACAACATTAAAAAACATTTTTTTTGAATTTTTAAATAAAGGTAAATTGTACATTATGTGTTTTTTTAGTACATTCACAAAGTAATTCCAGAACATTTTCATCACTGGCCCCCTCCCCCAAATTCCAATAGTCACTCTCTATGCTCCCCTCCTCCCCACCTCTGACAATCACTAGTGTACCTTCAGTCTCTTTGGAATTGTGTATCAGACATTTTATATAAATGGAATGTCCTCTTTTGTGTCTGGCTTCTTTCATTTAGCATACTTTGGAATGTTGTGGGATGCTTCAGTATTTGTTCCTTTTTATGGGTGAATAATATTCCAGTGTGTGGATATACCAGTGTCCATTCATTCACCACCTGATGGTCATTTGAGTTGTTTCCACTTTTTGGCTATTATGAACAATGCTGCTAGGAACATTTGTGTAACAGTTTTCGGTGAACATGTACTCAGTTCCCTTGGGTATACACTTAGGAGTGGAATTGTTGAATGATATGGTAATTACGTTTAACTTTTTAAGGAACTGCCAGACTGCTTGCCACATATGCTATACCATTTTAAATTTTCAGCAGCAATACATGAGGGTTTCAATTTCTCTCCAACCCTGCCAACACTTCATATGAATCTTAAGTAGCAGTCTTCAAATTGGGTACACGGACCTGGGGATAAGAAGACCTTCCGTGGGGATCATGACTTTGAGCATGATGGATATTCTGAAGACAATTTCAGGCCCTCTGCTTCCGTAAGAGCTCTTTCCCACATATACTTGATCTAGCAGGCTGAGAAAATGCCTATGACCTCCTTCCCCCCTCTTGCTCAATCACCCTATGCACTGCACAAAAGAAGGACCAATTACTCACCACCCAGAATCTCCTTTGATCCAGTGCATCACCCCAGTGTGAAAACTTCAGAATGAGATTAAGGTAAATGGAGAAGTCAGAACAATGCAAAGAATTTCAACAAGAGACACTAAAGGAAACAGAGCCTTATTTCATCCAATTCCCAGCATGGCTCTAAGTATTGTCCATCCTAGGAGAGTGGAATGTTCAACACAGGGATGGACCCTAAAATGTTTGATTACACCATAGCCAGTAATCAACTAAAAATGGATCACAGACCTAAATGAAAGAGCCAAAAGTATAAAACTCTTGGAAGAAAACATAGGAGTAAATATTCACAACCTTGGGTTAGAGAAAGATTTCTTAGATATGGCACTAAAAGCACAAGCATAAAAAAGTTAGGAGTGCCTGGCTGGCTCAGTCAGTAGAGCATATGACTCTTGATCTCAGGGTTGTGAGTTCAAGCCTCACACTGGATGTGGAGTCTACCTAAAAAAAAAAAAAAAGAAAAAAAAATTGATAAGCTGGATTTTATAAAAATTGTAAAATTTGTGAAAAGACACCATTAAAAACATATTTACAAATCTCATCTCTGATAAGGGTGTCTGGGTGGCTCAGTCGGTTAATCCTCTGACTTCGGCTCAGGTCATGATCTCAACATTTATGAGCTCAAGCCCCGCGTTGGGCTATCTGCTGTCAGCACAGAGCCCGTCTTAGATACTCTGTCTCCCTTTCTCTCTTCCCCTCCCCTGTTCTCTCTCAAAAAGAAAAAACATTTAAAAAAATGTTTTAAAGAAACTCTTGCATCTAATAAAGAGCTTACATTTAGTACATACAAGGGGCTCTTACAATTCAATAATAAAGAGAAAAATAACCCAATTTTAAAATGGGCAAAGGGTGCTCGCTTCGGCAGCACATATACTAAAATTGGAACGATACACAGAAGATGAGCATGGCCTCTGCGCAAGGATGACACGCAAATTCGTGAAGCGTTCCTTACTTTTATGAGCACTGGGTGTTGTATGGAAACCAATTTGACAATAAATTTCATATATTAAAAAAAAAGAAAGAAACTAACTACATAAATAAATAAAATGGGCAAAGGATTTGAGTAGACATTTCTTCAAAGAAGATGTACGCACGGCACAAACCACATGAAAAAGTGCTCAACATCATCAGTCATAAGGAAAGTGTAAATCAAAACCACAATGATATCATACCCATAAGGGCCTCTATCAAAAAACAAAACAAAACAGGTGTGCCTGGGTGGCTCAGTCGGTTAGGCATCCGACTTCAGCTCAGGTCATGATCTCACGGTTTTTGGGTTCGAGCCCCGCATCAGGCTCTGTGCTGACAGCTCGGAGCCTGGAGCCTGCTTCAGATTCTGTGTCTCCATCTCTCTCTGCCCCTCACTCACTTGTGCTCTATCAAAAATAAATAAAATATAAAAATTAAAATAAATAATAATAATAAATGTTGGTGAAGGTGTGGAGAAATTGGAACCCTTGTGTACTGTTGGTGGGCATGTAAAATGGTGCGGCCCCTATACAAAACAAAATGGCAGTTCCTCAAAAAATTAAAAATACAATTACCAGGTCATTCAGTAATTCCACTTCTGGGTATACCCCAAAATGAATTGAAAGCAAGGTCTCAAGAGACATTTGTATACCCATGTTCATGGCAGCACAGTTCACACATAAGAGCTAAACCCAAGGGTCCGTCATGGAAGAACGAATAAACAAAATGTGGTATGTCCATACAGTGGAATATTAACCAGCCTTAAAAAGGATGGAGATTCTGACGTGCTACAACAGGGATGAATCTTGAGGACATTATGCTAGATGAAATAAGCCAGACACAAAAGAGCAAATACTATAGGATTCCACTTACATGGGGTGTCTAGAATAGTCAAATATATAGAAAAGGAAAGGAGAACAGTGCTTGCCGGAGGTTAGGAAGAGGGAGAATAGACAGTCGTTGTTTAATGGGCAAGGAGTATTGGTTTAGAAAGATAAAAAAGTTCTGGAGACTGGTTGCACAAGAAGGTGAATATACATAATACCACTGAACTGTACACTCAAAAATGGTTAAGATGGCAAGTTTGTCATGTGTATTTTACCGCAATTTTTTAAAATTCAAGTATAGTTGACATACAATGTTTCACTAGTTTTCAGGTGCACCACATAGTGAATTGTGAGTGACTCAACAAGCCTATACATTATGCTGTGCTCACCACAAGTGCAGCTACCCTCTGTCAACAGACAACACTATTATGGCACCACTGACCGTTGGCTATATTCTGTTTGCTTTTTTAAACCACTGTGAGATAGCACTTCCCATTTAGTAGGACGGGTATAATCAAAAGGACAAGTATGGGTGAGGATGTGAAAAAACTGGAGCCCTCATATATTGCTGGTAGGAATATAGAATGGTACGACCACTTTGGAAAGCAGTTTGGCAGGTTCTTAAAAAAGGTAAACATAAACAGCAATTCAACTCATCCACCCAAGAAAAGTGAAACCTATGTCCACACAAAGACTTGTGTGCGAATGTTCATAGAACCAGTATTCACAATAGCCAAAAGATGAAAACAATTCAAATGTCCATCCCTGGTGAACAGGAAGAAGTAAAAAAAGTCATACATCCATACCATCAAATACTATTCAGTGATAAAAAGGAATTAAGTACTGATATACACCACAAAATGGATGAATCTCAAAAACAGTATGCTAGGGGCGCCTGGGTGGCTCAGTCGGTTGAGCGTCCGACTTCGGCTCAGGTCATGACCTCGCAGCTCGCATTCTGTGTCTGTCTCCCTCAAAAATAAACAAACATTAAAAAAATGTTTGTTTATTCTTGAGGAGGAGAGAGACAGAGTGCGAGTGGGGGAGGGGCAGAGAGAGAGAGGGAGACACGGAATCCGAAGCAGGCTCCAGGCTCTGGGCTGTCAGCACAGAGCCCCACGCGGGGCTCAGACTCAGGAGCTGCGAGATCATGACCTGGGCCGAAGTCGGACGCTCAACCGACTGAGCCACCCAGGCGCCCCTAAATAGACATTAAAAAAAAAACCAGCACACTGAAATGTAAGCCAGTCACAAAAGGCTAACATCTTAATGGTGGAGGAGGTCATTGAGAGGACATGACCACCGGCTGACCTGTGAGCAGATCCCAGCAGCCGGAGGCTCCTTACTCCCTCCCCTATCCTTGGACCATGCCTCCAGCTTGCCATTCACACTCCCAGAGACTGCCCTAAGGACAGAGCCTTGAGATAGCGATGTGGTACTAAGACCATCTGGACGGTACACATTACTGAACGCAGGCAAAATCTCGATATAAACGTTTACGATTTGGTGGGTGGGTGTGGAGATCTACTTGTGCCGTAGCCGCCCAAGGCAAGGTATGTGTTATACCTACCACCTACCAATCTGCAGTGGCTTCCCTCTTTCTTCAGAAACGCTGCTCTCTGTCCTCTGCCGGTTTCAGATTACACCCAGAAGCTCCCAACGAGCTGCCAAACCAACAACTATCGATCCCATTTATATGAAATATCTAGATAATATAAATGCATAGAAACAGAAAGATCACTGGTTGCCTGGGGTACAACGGGAAGCATCTTTCCGGTGTCACAGAAATGCTCTAAAATGGACTATGGTAATGGTATCTGTCAGGATGTCCCTGGAACCACAGTGGAGGGGACGGCCATCTTGCCAGCGCAACCCAAGGGAAAGCCCCAAGCGGCGCGCCAGAACCAATCGAAGGTCAACCAATCACCGAGCGACAGCACGACCAGGCGCGAAAAAGGCCCACCCGGACCTAAACCCGGAACCGCTGCAGCTTAAAAAAAAACCCACCCCACCCCACCCCACCCCACCCAGGCGCGACTTCCCTGACTCCTCTCTGTCCCTGAGCCACAGAACCTCGCCCGAGACCTTAGTTCCCAATAAAGCCTTTGACTGCTAAAATTTTTTAGCTTCTGACTCATCTTTACCCTGCCCGATGCCTGACCTTAACAGTATCATGTAATTCTACAAAAAAATCATTAAAGGGGCGCCTGGGTGGCGCAGTCGGTTAAGCGTCCGACTTCAGCCAGGTCACGATCTCGCGGTCCGTGAGTTTGAGCCCCGCGTCGGGCTCTGAGCTGACAGCTCAGAGCCTGGAGCCTGTTTCGGATTCTGTGTCTCCCTCTCTCTCTGCCCCTCCCCCGTTCATGCTCTGTCTTTCTCTGTCCCAAAAATAAATAAATGTTAAAAAAAAAATTAAAAAAAAAAATCATTAAATTTAAAATGAGTCAATTATGTGGTATGTCAATTATATATACCTCAAGGAACTGTTTTTAAAAAGTAAAGTCAGGGGACACCTGGCTGGCGCAGTTGGGAGAGCACACAACTCTTGATCTTGGGATTGTAAGTTCAAGCCCCATGCTAGGTCGTACAGATTTTATTAACTTAAAAATAAATTCTTTAAAAATAATAAAATAAAATAAAAAGTGAAGTCATTCTTCTGGGTTGGACAGTGAGGCCCAATTTGGCCAGATAGGTGCTCTGCCATATAATTTCCATAACCCAGGTGAAATCTACACCTCCTAGATTTTACTCAAAATAGGATGAAAACATGCATATGAAAACCACAGGATAGGATGATAATGATACCTTTTGCAACTCTTTACAAGTATAATAAAAAAAAATACTCTAGTTGTCAATTTACAAATGTGTAAGGAGGACATAAATTCTTCCACCACAAGCTTGGGAGCAGGGTCACCCCACAAGTCCATGTGTCATGGGAACTGACAAAATAAAACCTCACCCTAGAAGCTAGTGGTCACCCACCCAAATGGAGGAGCTGGGGATTCCAGCGCATTCTCAACACTTAAATAAGCGCAGAATTAGAAAGTCAACACTGAACTGCAGTAGCCTCTTGTCTGCTCTCGCTCTTCCACTATGGCAGAGCCACGACACGAGGCATTTACGTTGTGCAACTGGAGGTAGCCACGTGGCCCTCACTTCACTGCTCCCGGGACTGGGACAAAGCTGGAATACAAAGATGACCAAAAACAAAACAAAACCCATAAATTTCAGTTTGCAGCTTTCAAGATTCAATTCCTTCAAGAGTAATATTTTTTTAAGTGTATATATTTAAGTAATCTCTACACCCAATGGGGGTCTCAACCTCAGGACCCCCAAGATCAAGAGTCACATGTTCCTCCCAATGAGCCAGGCAAGCCCCCTTCTTTCAAGAGTAATATTGACCTTAACTGATAGTGCCCAGACGCTGAACTCCCCAAATAAGACCCAACCTAGCCATACTTGTTCAAATGCCTCTTTCAGACTGAGGGCACAACCATCTGGATCACCCCTGTATGCCCAGCCTAGCCAGTCCTGGCTTCAGGCTCCTCCACACAGGGTGAGCAGATAAGAGCACTGTCCTGCCCTCCTGGGAATAATTTATTAATCAAACATTAAGCAGTCAAGTAGGTTATCACTGAAGCAAAACTACAATTGCGTGGTAACAGGCTGAGAAGCGGAGGCACTTTGGAAATGTCCCAACAGGATAATATATCTGCTCTAAACCTTCACATTAACTCATTTACGGTAGGTTCTGTTATTACCCCATTTGGGGGTAGAGAAATTGGGGGCACAGAGAGGTAAGGTAACTTGCCCAGGGTCACACAGCTCATCAGTGGTCCACCCAGATTCACACGCAGGTCTAACTCTAGAAGCCTGGTGCAATCACCAAATCGGCTGCAAGGGTAAACAGCGCAGGAAAAGCATGAACTGGAGCCAGCCACAGCAGATGAGCAAGTTTTCCCAAGAAGGTAAAGGGAGGCTAGGGGAAGGCTGATCCAGAGAGCTCCGACCTGCTCGTGATGAGGACACGCCAAGGCGGGAAGGCAAGAGGATGGGCAGGGAGGCTATAAAGGTGGCAGGAGAGGTTGCTGTAGCTTCCCGGTTGATTGTAAGGCAATGCGTCCAGCCCACCTGCCCACTTCTCAAGTGGGGAAACTGAGGCCCCCAAGGAGGGGGAACACAGGTTCCCAGGCACCAGCCCGCCTCAGCCTCCCGGAACGCCCCATCCAGGAGATAGTAAGGGGCATAGGGACTGCAGTGAGGTGGCGCGAGGCCTCCCTGCCCTTGGCGGGACACTTACCGAGGCGTACTTCCACAGCTCCCTCAGGACACCTCCCGCGTTCCTCGCCTCCAGCCTCTCCACTCCCACCTGGCCCTGCGCGCCCGCAGCTCCGCCCCCAGTGCTCCCCCCGCCCCCCCCCCCACAGCCCGCCCTGGGCAGCACAGGCGGCCCACAGCGCCCCCTTTAGGCAGGGAGGCGCGGGCCCACGCCCTGCCTTGTAGACTGTTCTTTTCCCCTTACTATTTCTCTTCCCTGTCGCTTGTTGCTGTTCGCTCCCTCCCCCGCCTTCCCTTTGCCTTTCATGTTTTCAATCACAAGTCGCTCTTTCATTCATTCTTGGTTTGTTTGGTTTTTTTAAGTCTGTTTATTTATTTTGAGAGAAAGAGGACGGGGGATAGGGGTAGAGAGAGAAAGAGAGACTTTCCAGCACGCTCCTCACAGTCAGTGCAGAGCCCAACACGGGGCTCCAACCCACGAACCATGAGATCATGACATGAGCCAAAGGCAAGAGTCAGGTGTTGGGCCACGCAGGCACCCCTATTCATTCTTACACTTAACAGTTATGTGTGTGCCAGAAACTGCTCAGAACATTGGGGATAGGGGCACCTGGGTGGCTCGGTCTGAGCACCTGACTCTTGATCTCAGTTTATGTCACGATCCCAGGGTGGTGGGATAGGACTTTGTAATGGGCTCCAGGAGCCTGGTTAAGAGTTTCTCTCCCTTTTCCTCACCCTCCACCTCAAAATAATAATAATAATAATAATAATAATAATAATAATAATAATAATAAAGTAATGCTGGGGATAAGGCAGAGAAGATAGAATTCCTGTGCTCATTAGTTTACATTCTAGTAGATGACAATAAATGAATGGCTTTCCAACTTTGTCACCCCCACCCACAGGTGCAACATGTTTTACATCACTTTCCAGTATACCTACACACTCACACACACACACACACACACACACACACACAGCACCCATAAGACTAACACTGAGGTTTCACAAAGCCATACTTACCTTGTAGATTGGCAGCTCCTAAAAAGACAACCAGAAAGAGCGCCAGAGTGGCTCAGTAGGTTAAATGTCCTTTGGCTCACTCAGGTCATGATCTCACAGTTCATGAATTCAAGCCTCAATCTCTTCCTCTCTCTCTCTCTCTCTCTCTCTGCCCCTCACCCCAAATAAATACATAAACTTAAAAAAAAAACACAATCAGAAAACTTGTGACCAAGCAAAACTAACTTTGTTAGATTTGCTGCAGTAATAGAGAATGCTACCATGACAATCTTAATAGTATGTCAGAATGGGGAGACATGGAAAGGAAATGTATAGGGCTGGGGTCTGGGCTTGAGTAGTTCAAGAAGGTCTTTCAAGACAAGAATTGATTGGGAGTCTGTGAGACCTAACAGGCAAGAAAGATGTTACAAAGCAGGTGGAAAGATTAAATTTTAGAAGGACATTTGTATTTCCTTTAGTTTATTGGCTATCAATGATTGTGTTTAAAAGGCTATAGAATTTCACCTTTAGTAATATAGCTTTAATGAAAAACGCCCTCTTAATTTTAAAGAAATGTTAAATGTCATTTCCTTGATATTTATGGACTAAATAAATTCTAAATTTGAATTATTTTATTTTTTAAAGTTTACTTATTTTGAGAGAGAGAGAGAGAGCGAGCGAGCATGTGAGCATGCAAAAACAGAAGAGGGGCAGAGAGTGAGGGAGAATCCCAAGCAGGCTCTGCACTGTTAGCACAGAGCCTGACACAGGGCTTGAACTCATGAACCTTGAGATCATGACCTGAACTGAAGTCAGATGCTTAACCGACTGAGCCACCCAGGTGCCCTGAATTGTTTTAAAAAACAGGAATTGTTTGGGATTGGGCATATGTCTTGATGTAAATTTTAGCATTAGTGAGCACAGCACAGCAAGGGTCTTAAAGCAAGTTTTAATAAGTATACTGCTGTTTGGTAAGTAACTTGATTTCCCAAATGGACAATCTTGATGGGATTCCTTCCCAATATGAGAGCCCATCCTGCAAACTGTCCAGATAAATAGGTTTGAATGAAGTCCCTAAACCAAACGTTTATTTGTTTATAGCTTTAGCTTACTGAGCACAGCATCATTTTTGCTGTGTTCTACAGGTCAAAGCAACAGGAAAGAGCACCCAGACTCAAGGAAAGGGGAACAGACCCCACCTCTTAAGGATTGTCAAAGAATGTGACCATCTTAAATCCTACACATTTTAAGGGCGTCTAGCTGGCTCAGTGGGTAGAGCATGTGACTCTTGATCTTGGGGCTGTGAGTTCGAGCCCCATGTCGGGTATAGAGATTACTTAAAAAATGAAATATATTTTTAAAAACTCCTCCACATTTGGATTACTTGGAAAAATAAGGAGTTACTTTTTTGGAAAGAAAGAAGAGGGATATAGGAGAGGCAGGCCACATGGATTGGCTGACCTTTGCCAAGTAAACTTTCCTTCTGGCATGGAAACCTAAAAATAACTTCTCTTGCATTCTCTGGTGCCAACCTTGGGTCTCAAGATTGGGTCCAGTATCACCAAACACATTTTCCTTTTCTGCAAACCACATCATAACATGAATTAGGCTGGGATTCCTTGGGTCTATGACTATATTGACTTCCAAAAAGTCATTTTCCCCCATGTTTTTGTCTCTGAAAAGGTGTTTTGGTTACCTGTTTTGGCTAGGGAATGGGG